TAATCTGATTCTTGAGCTCTCAGACTTCCCCATCTTCCATGGTATACCAGTTTTGCCCCTGTAGATTTGGTACTCACTTTATATTCTCCGGAACAAAGAGTGACCTTATCAATCTTGACTTAAGGCGAATGCAAAAATGTTTGAAAACGTTTTATTAGAGAAGTAAAACGGAAAGCCATATCAAGACTTTGCTTTCGAGAAGTGTGTGTAAACCGGATAAAACCGTTTTTGCGTGGTAGTTGCCGTGCCGCCAAATTTGTTTTTTTTTTTTTTTTATTTTTAAAAGGAGGGGTATAAGCCAAGCCATGAGAATATCATGTAAGCCCTCGCTCTCACTCTTGCTTTTGATTTTGCTCACACTCACTCCCACTTTTGGTTCTGCTCACCACTCATTCCTATAGGTGATTTGAGTGTACGACATTTCAGCTACCATTAAGATTCTGGTCACCTTGAGATGTCTCATTTTATGTTGGTGGCCAACTGCGTTCCTTGTGCAGCAACATGGAAGACCTTGGTGTGATTGATTTTGGAGACCTTCATATGGCTTCGTTGTGGACGTTGGTTTCCTATGAAAGGGGCTTTTGTCCGATATGACTTTGATGGTAGGCGTCTTCTTGCTCTTGAAGTGTGGTTCATTCAAATGGGTGACGGATAAGTCAGATCTTGACCTTACCCATATAAGGCTTCTCGTAGAGGGATTTTGGCGATGCCCCCCAAGTATGGGATTGACATGATGGTTGAGACCCATTATCATCCTGGTCTTTTTTCGACGAAGATTTGTTTGAAAATGTTGGTAGTCTTGGGCATATTTGGGGGAATGTGTGTTTGGATAGCTTTGCCCCCCGTTTTTGAGATTATGGTTTCATGAGTCGTGGTTTGAGATTTTTGCGAGTGTAATCTGGTTATGGACTTGTCAAGATTTCTGTGTGACCTCTAAATGTTGGTTGTGGTGGAGCTTCACTTTCTGACTTGCTCTCAAAATGATGAGTATCTGGGATGAAGTAATTTTGGCCGAAAAGGCTTTCTTATCATTGAAATTTTCTTACTCGAAGGTCCTTTCTGGTGTATCTTGAGATTGATCTGCTAAGACCCTGACTTGGTGCAGGTATTTAGTACTTCAAATGCTAAATTGGGGGCACCCAGATTGTATGTCCCACGACATTTTGTTTGCTTTTCGATCTTTTTTTTTGTGTGGGACTTACTTGACTTTGTCATGCCCCCGACTATGCGTTTTCTTTCTTAATCTGGCGCTTGTCTCTGGTGGGGCGAGTATTGAAAGGATCGAGAGTCCATTTTGATGATTGATCGTGTGGGTGTCACTTCTCGTTAGCTAGGTTGAATGGGCTATTCTTTTTGTAGAAGTGAGGATTTTGATACCATGCGCTTGTTTGTATAGATGAGTGATTCACTCGTGTGATTCTTGGGTTTTGTTAAATGGGATCCCTGAACTTCCCGGTCTTCTTGTCACGAGACATTGTGAGAGCTTCCTATCCGTAATATGGTGTCCCTTGTACGTCGAGATTTGGCTATTTGAGTTCATGTAAGCTGAGTCTCAATTTGTTGGCGAAAGTCGGCTGTAGTAGTGACGAGATTCTACAAGTAGCATGATGTCGTATGCTCATTACACCTTTTTACTATTAGCTCATGTAATTTATGAACACCAGTAGGGTGTTTGTCTCTCGATTTTAGTGGATCATGCACACTCTCAACACCAGTGGGTGCTCAAAATATTGACAATAGCAGGGTGTTTATAACCACTCAATACCACTGGGGTGTCCCAAATCTCAGCACCAGTGGGGTGCTCATAATTGCTTATCATGGCAGTCTCATGGCTTAACTTCAAAAATAAAGTTGGATTTGGATGGCTTCCATTATTTGTAGAAGATAAATCTGTTTAAAAAAAAAAAAAAAGGATTCGTAGTGGCATTCGTTATTTTGATATAAAAAAAAAATCCATTGATACAAACTCTTAAATTAAGATTGATAATGGTCACGCAATGCTCCGAAAAGGTTGAAACGTGAAAGATCTTTTATTCATGATGTCGAAAGCAAAAGTGATACATATTTTGTAATGGCAAATGATCTCGATATTTTATTTACTTAGATAAGCTCGACATCATCCTTTAATCGAGTTTTGCCTTGTAGTACGCCCACTAATTCTAATGCGTTGGCACTGAGTTCCTGTTGACGTCTGGGCGTTTCGGCTCTTCTTCGAACTTCAACCAACCAGCTTTTACCATCTCTTGAATCCTTATCTTCAGAGCGTTACAATTTTCCATTGAGTGCCCTTGGACTCCGGAATGGTAATCGCATTGCTTATCGAACCTATACCATCTTGGATATGGAGGTCGTAGAGTCTCACCCGGAATAGGAGCAATTAGTCGTTCATGGAGTAACTGAGGGAAGAGTTCGGTATACGTGATTGGGATTGGATCAAATACCCTTTTTTCTTTCCTTGGGATAGTGACATCTCGATTAACACCTTGTTGTGGTACCGATAATGGGATTTTATTTGTTGGTGTCATGAAGTTCAGAGGTCGCGATATTGGTGTGGTTGTTGCAACATAAGAAAGAGCTTGATTCTTTTGAAAGTGACACTTCCAGATATTCTCTTCTGCTTCCCCCTGGGTTGACTGTAGCTTTCCTTTAATTCGTTCCCTTTGGATTGCCCTCTCATCCATTTCGTAATTCTCTAACTTCCCTTGTCCAATGCAAATCACACGCTCTTCAAGCCTTTCTGATCTTCGCGGATTGTCACATTTTGATTGTTCTGCATCATGCACGTCCTTTGAGAGCAGGAGTTGAGTTTTATCACTTGACGTTACTTTGCCGTGCGGTTGGTATAAAATTTCTTCGCCAAATGGCGCATCCCCATATTTCGCTTCCATTGTCCTCTCAATTTTTGACAGAATCCTCAAAATTGTGCTAACATCCTCTTTCATTTCTTCAAGCCCGATTACTCTTCTCTTGATGTCATCTAAATCCTTCTGAAATGCCTCCATGACGAGCTGAGCCTTGGATCTTGTCGAGTACTTAAGGATTTGACTTTTTCCTTGTGGAAGAGCAATTTTAAGAAAACCTAGGCATGTCTTGGCATTGTTAAATTCTTTCCATCTTTTTGAATGAAGGTGTATGCGTGATACTTGTTCAAAATGACAATGATGTATGAATGCAAAAATGATTTTTGGGATGCATGCGATTTTTCTTAAATCTTTTTATAATCAATTATGAATGAGTTGAAGAAAAATTTACGAGAGAATGATGTTAACGAGTTTCGAAAACGCTTTCCATTCATACAATCACATAATTTTATGAGTAAAAGAAAAAAACACATAGCATTAAATAGTAAGCAAACATACATTTAAATAAACAAACACATCTCATTACATCCTCACCCTATTTAGGTAGACCTAGGGCTTTCGGGCGGCGTAACGACATGACTTTAGGTTGGCTTTGGGGATTGTTTTGGACGGCTTAGGGAGGTTTCTATGCTTACTATATGCTGACAGGGGGAATTCCTAAGGATTTGGTTCCCAAGTTGTATCCTACCATAGCCCTTTCGAACTGGTTGGATACCTCGAGATCAACCTCGGATCCGAGTTCAACTTGGTTAGAAAGTTTTGCGTGACTACCACTACTGTGGATGTCACGGTACTCCTTTCAATTTTCTAAAAGGATAGCTCGGGTATAGAGCTTTTATGCATGAATACAAAATTTAATTGCGAAAATATAATTGCGCAAATAAGAAAGTAAACACCCAACACGTAATAGGAAAATAGAAAACTTATCGAACTTAGTTATGTAGCTCGACTCTCGAAGTCCCCAGCGGAGTCGCCAACTGTCGCAACCGTCCCTCCGGGGGTCCGAATGTCGTCGCGTCGGCATTTTGGGAGTCGCCATCGATCTTATTAGGAGTGGATCGAACACTCGTCGGTTGGCTCTGACCTTTGGGTCAGAACCGAAACATGGTCTGCGAAATAGAAATCTAGGTTCGGGAGTACGGTTACGTGTGGGGAAGTTGAGCAACACCCCCACAACGCCCTAAATCGGTACTACTTAAGTCGATAAGTTTTTATACGAGTTGGGTGTATTTTAATAATATTTTGGTAATTTTAGGTCCCACTAGACCATTTAATGATTTTATCGTATTATTTGTGATTTAGTTATACGCCCACTGACGTAAAATCTAAAGATAAAGTTAGTTGATTAATTGGACTCGAACCTTATCGGTTGCCTACGTACCCGCAAGACGGGATCAAAGTCCACGTAGTTCGTTAAGACTTTGATAATTTTAAATAAATTATAACCACGTTCCTCTGATCGTGATTCTCGTATCAAAATTTACTGTTAATGAAACTTAAGTTGATATTATGAAATTATAAAAGATAATATAGGGATTTCTATTATTAAGAGGAGATTTGGTGTGTTAGAAAAGAAACGGGATAAACTTAATGCGCAATTCTACATTTCGTATTATGGATTTTAAAAACAAATAAAATTAAATGGGATGATTAAATTAGCGAAGGATAGGCCAGCAGCCCAACTGGCTAAAACGCCGGTCGTACAACATACCCGATCGCGAGGATGCTGTTTCGAACCCAGCTGCCACCACCTTTTTTGTTTCTCGTTTTATTCCAGAGAAAGGGGAAGGGTATTTTTGTAATAACCCGAAAACACGGTGGCAGAGTTATGTAATTTGAGGAAACCCTGAGGGTAATTCAGTCATTTTAATCGATGGGGTATATATAATCTCTAATGAAACCCTAATCAATCTAAAGAGAGGCGGCCGCCCTCTCATTCTCGCCTCTCTCTCGATCCTTCCACTTCTCTCTTCCTCTTCCAGAAACAAATCGAACCATAGCCGCCCTATCCTCTCCTCTTTCTCCTCTCTTCTTCGAACCAAAAAGCCCTCTGGTTTTTCACCGCCGCCATCCTCTTCTTCTACCTTCCCTTCCAGAGAAAACCAAAATCGAAACCTAAAACAACATCTCAACATCTCTTCGCCTTTCAACCGCCGCCCCTCTCTCTTTCCTTCTCTCGGTTAGCCAAGGGGACCGCTCGCGTCGAGTTAAATCAGCCTAGAAGGTTTCGATATAGGTAAGATCGAGACATGCATGGCCTTTTTGATTCGTTTTAGGTGATTTTATTAGGATTCGTCTAACTTTCTTTCGTTTTCTTGTGACTTTGAGGCTTGGTTTCGGACGAGGGAAAAGAAGCAGTGAGGAGGTCGCCAGACCGAGGTACGATTTAAACGTAGGCTCGGATCTGGTTTCGTTTTTGGTTTATCGGTTGTATTTTTGGATTTCTGGGTTCTAATATGTTTTTTTGGTTGGGGCGGAGGAGAAGAAGGGAATCTTTGGCGGCTAAGATCCCTACCGACAAAATTTCGCCGGCGATGAGTTGACAACGGCGGCGGCAGGTGAGGATTGCTTCGATTAATTTTTTTTATTTTCTTGACTGGTATTGGTTCTAATTGATTCTGGTCTCTACGCAGGTTTTGAAATTGACAGGACTGGGTAAGGTTTCTAAACTTAGCTTAGTGTGATTTTGGAACTTGAACAAAAAAGATGGGTTGAATCTGATTGCAGATCTGGGTTTTCAATAAAAATGGTTATGTATGAGTTCAATAATTTTGGTGTTTGGTGATCTCGAAATTTTTATGCTTAGTTGCTTGGTGGATGGTTTTGGGATGCTAGATTTTTCTACAAATGAAAAAGAAGAAAAAGGGAATTTTCAATAACTGGGAAGTAATTAACATGCTCTAAAATTGATAATTTTGGCAACTAAAAGTCACTGCCTCTGCTTGTGACTTTGCCAAAATGAAGTTTGAAATATGAAGTTCAATTGTGTTTGGGTGATTTCTGCTGGATCTGGATCTAGATCTAGATCGGGGGTGATCGTAATCCTAGGGAAGAGGTTTTTTCTTCTTTCTATAGACCTTTGTCTATTTGAACTCTACTCGAATATTTTCATTCATTTACACATGATAATAAAGTATTCATCAACTATTTGCTAGATAGGGAATTTACAACGTTGACATGTTATAAAGTAGTCTATCAATTGATGAGAAAAGCAAGTAAATGCTCAATTGAAAGAAGCTTAATGCCAGAGTTGAGTTGCTAAGCGCAAATCTTGTATTAAGTGAATAGATAGAGTGCTTAAATGTAAAATAGTTTGCAAAGTACGACCATCGAGTATATAAATGGGCAAGTAGATAGACGATTATGACCGTACAATGATTGAGCATGAATTTGACGAAAACAAAAATGAGATCAGATCTTATTAAAAGGATGAAAGAGTTGGAGCACTAACCTGGTTGGAGTTTCTTAGCTTAAGAAAGGCCTTCCACTGCTTAATTCCACAAATTTCTGCGCCAATCTTGTGTAAAAGACGGATGTAAAGAAAAAATGAGCTCAAACTGCTTGTTTACTTCTGTAATGTAATTTTCTTTCTTTCCACTCCACTCGTCCCCCAAAATCAGGAGCTGAAGAGCTCTACTTATTGATAAATCGTATGCCACGTGTTGCTTCGCCATTAGTCTTTGTTAGGACTTGAAATGCCGTGTTTCTTCCTGATAGGTCGAATTTTGAGGCTGCCCCAATAGCCTCCACCTTGCATGGTCGGTTCTGACTGTTCAGGGCCTGTTCAGGATAGGCTGGCACACAATTCGATGTTGGTTGGGCTGACGAATAAGGTTGGGCCGAGTTGGGCCTTGAATTCGTTTGGGCCGGTACTGGGCTTGGCCTAGTCTTGAACTTGGGCTCTGTTTTGGCCGAATTGGGCTCTGTTTTGGGTTGTATTCTGATCGTATTCTTTTTTCATTTTGCAGGTTTGTGATCTGGTTTGGGCTCAAAGTAGGAGGGCAATGACTTCAATATTGTAATTAGTTCTAATTCTCGCTTTATTTAGAGGTCATTACCCAAGTTGTACAATGTATCAACTTTGAATATTTGATAATAAAGCTCATTCCACTTCAATTAGTCCCGTTTCAAATGCCGAATCCAAATCCAAAATGTACAACAAACTTTGCACTATAGCTATTTCTTCCATTCAATTGAGAAATTATATTTAAGATTTGCCACTGCTAATCTTAACTTAAATCGATTATATCTTAACTAATTATGCCCTAGAATCGACTAGGAGCAAATTTGACAATTGTTGGTTCATATTGACTTGCAACTGCTAGTCTCAACCACACTATCTTCAACTTCTTTTAAATTAATCGTAGTACGACGTGACAATAATTATTTTCAATAAATCAATTATCCCGGACAAAATGTGGTGTCTACATTGGGATTGTTGTTGCCACACCAAGAGAAATTTGGATGCTGGCACCACCCCTCGTATGTATTACAATAGGGGTCGTTGCGCCGAGCATTGTTAATGAAATTCAGATGCTCCTGCGGTGTGCTGGACTCTCGCATGGCTTGGTAGTCCTCCACCCTATGATTGGTGCTCTCACACCACTGGCAATACATCGGCTGCTGCTGCCCTGCACCTGGAACCATCCCGTTCCGATCAATTGCTTAAACTTGTTTAGAGACAACCTGCACCAACTCAGATGACTAGTTGTCCACGACATGCACACCCCGACCTGGTGCTCACCTTGACCTCCTAGTTGTCCCCCAATCATATCCGTTCTTTGCCATCTCCTCAAAGAGAGCCCGGTAGAAGGTGCCCACCTTGAAAGCGTTGTTGAAACCATGATTGGGACACTTTAGGAAAAGACTAGTGATTCTTTCCCACGCGTCCCAGATGGTCTCATCTTATTCCTGTGCAAAATGAGTGATCTCCTTCTGCAGGTATGTTGTCTTAGATGGAGGATGATAGCGGGTAAGGAACTTGTCGGCCAGGCTGGCGAATGTAGTGATCAAACTCGGAGGCCGGGTGTCCAGCCACTCCTTTGCTTGTCCATCAAAAGTGAATGGGAAGTACCTCAGTTGGATGGCGTCCGCAGGGACCCCATTAATCTTGATTCCATCGATCAACTCATGGAATCGCCGTAGGTGTGATTTGGGGCACTCCCCTTCCTTTCCCCTGAATACCACCGAGCCGCACAACATGGTGATGACGGAGGTGCTCACCTCAAAGTTATTAGTTGGAACTTGAGGGTGCTGGATGGGACCTCATGCCTGCGGCTCTGGGGGTCCAGTAGTATCCCATTGTGTGCTCATCTGGAACAATGTCCCCTCCATTATTGGGTTCACCCATGTCGTCCTCCTGGTTGATTTTCAGATGCTCCAATGTTTCCTCTGCAGCCAATCGCGCCTTGAAAGTTTGCTTGAGGTTACGAAAGGTTCATTCAAGCTCTTGGTCCAACGACAATAGATCTCCCGACTGGCTATGGGTCATGCACTACCTGCACACAGACTGCAAACACAACCCGTGAAGGCACATAGGTGGAAGAGAGAGAATGCCGTAATGAAAATGCTAAAGTAACAGACTTTCACGTTTCTACAATAACCTAGAGTTCCTCGGCAACAGAACCAAAAACTTGACACGCTACGACACAATACCAAACTGCGACCAAGTGTAATCATGATCCCGAAAACATGGAACTAGGGTTCTTCAATTGACTCAGTTTACTTTGAATTCACCTTCAAAACTCTTTGGAGAGTCAGAGATTGATCGAGTCTTTATACCTGGGTGGAGACATTCTCACTAAGTCTCCACCCGAGCTAAATCAGATGATCAGTACTTTGGCCACCAGAGACCATTCTTGGGGGCAGAACACCAGAGGTAAAACTCCCGGGGTCATGGCGTGCATGCCATGGAGGCTAGATCTGGGCTTGAGAGAGAGGTGGGAGAGCTGGTTCAGACATTGAAGCAGCCAAACAACCTCATTCCATGGAGAGGCATAGCCGCACCTCCAGTCGCACAGTGCCAGTGGTGAGAAAGTTCAAACCATTTGGTGGAAGATTGCCAAGCTATGAGGGAATCCACCCCCCCCCCCCCACAGGAGCAGTTGGACTTCATCGCCAATGCGCGGCGCCTTGACCCTTACAGTGGTACTTATAATTAAGGGTGGCGCCAGCATCCCAACTTCTCCTGACAATGGCAACAACAGCAACACCACCAAGCCTTCTGGATTCCCAGCACCAGCTGGTGGTTTTCAGCAAAGGCAGCCTTTCCAGACCCGACAGGGCCCATTTCCACAGCAGCAGCCTTATCAGCCTAGACAGGGGCAACCATTCCAGTAGTAGCACCAAGAGTTTGCCTAGCCGGCAGCACTCCCAACATAGGATGCCCAGATGTTGGAGCTGAAAAACATGGTGCAGGCCTTCGTGAGCTCCAGCACGGCGAATTTCGCCAGGTTGGACTAGTGCATCACCTTACTGGAGGTAGGCCAGAGGAACCAGGGTGCCATACTGCAGGATCTCCATAATCAGATTGTAGGAATAGCTCGCCAAAACAGCACCAGGGCACCGGGAACTCTGCCTGGCACCACCATCCCTAATCCTCGTGAGCATCACCAGCAGTTGGATGCCATCACTACTAGAAGTGGCAAGACGACATCTGTTGTACCTGCTCCGACTAGGTTGGAGGAACCAACACCTGCTTTTGCACTTCTAACTGACAATGAAGAGGTGGGGATCGAGAAAGAAGCACCTGCTCCCAAAACACAACCGGTGGTTAAGGAGCATGTTCCCCTAGCTACCCTTCCCCACTCGTATGCACAAAGACAAGCTGGAGACTGAGTTTGCCAAATTTATGGCAATGTTGAAGCAGGTCAACATCAACATACCGTTCGTGGAGGCACTATCGAAGATTCCCAAGTACGCAAAATTCATGAAGGATCTCCTCACCAACAAAAAGAAACTTGGGGATCTCTCGACAGTGATGCTGAGCGAGAAGTGTTCATCCATCCTACAGAACAAGCTGCCCGAGAAGCGCAAAGACCTAGGGAGTTTTACTATCCCTCTTGTTATTGGCAGCATGCGCGTTAGAAAGTCCTTGGCGGATCTAGGCGCTAGCATTAATGTCATGCCTTATAAACTGTTTAAGAAGCTAAGCCTAGGTGAACCTAGAACCACTAGGATGAGTATTCAGTTAGCTGATCGCTCGATTGTGCATCCTAGGGGTATCATAGAGGACTTGCTTGTTAACGTGGGTGCATTCACATATCCTATTGATTTTGTTATTCTGGATATAAATGAGGATGTGGATGTGCCTTTGATTTTGGGTAGACCATTTCTCGCCACCGCCAAGGCGCTGATTGATGTGCATAGAGGCAAGTTAATCTTGTGGGCTGGGGATGAACAAGCCACATTTTCTGTGTCTGACAAGATGAAGCATTCCCATTTGCATGATGACTTGTATTACTGTGATATGCTTGCTGGTTTTGAAACCGCACTCGCCACCACGAGTGCGGGTACTGCGATGCCCTTGAGCGTTGTATTTTGCTAAGTGAGCAGGCATCGCAAGAGCTGCAGCTGGAGGAGCACTTGGTCGTGCTAGAGAGTGGCGAGTTCCTGGAGGTCGATAAACTATTCAAGCCGATCTCATCCTCGACTCGCATCACCACCTCTCTAGAGGAGCCACCAGAATTGGAGCTAAAATCCCTCCCTTCTCACTTGGACTATGAATTTATCCAGGAGGGTAATAAGCTTCCAGTCATCATCAGCTCGACCCTCACACCCGAGCAGAAGCTAGACTGGTGGCCCTGTTGAAGCAGTACGAGCGAGCTCTGGCATGGAAGATCACCGATATCCGGGGGATCAGCCCCTCCTTCTGTTCCCACTGGATATTGCTAGAGGATGAGATTCGGTTGGTGAGACAGCCCCAACGGAGATTGACACCGAACCTGAAGGGTGTGGTTCGAGCGGAGATTGTTAAGCTGATAGACACGGGAATCATCTTCGCCATTTCTGACAGCGAGTTGGTCAGTCCCACTCAATTGGTGCGTAGAAAGGGTGGAATGGCTGTGGTTCCCAACGAGAAGAATGAGCTCATCCCGATGCGCACAGTGACCGAGTATCGCGTCTGCTTCGACTATCGTCGCCTCAACGACGCCACCCGGAAGGATCACTTCCCGCTGCCATTCATTGACCAGATGCTGGAGAGGCTGGCCGGGCAGAGTTCTACTATTTCCTGGATGGGATGTCTGGATATTTTCAGATTCCCATAGCATTGGAAGACCAGGCGAAGACCATCTTCACCTGACCTTTCGGCACAATTTCTTAATAGAGAATCCCATTCGGGCTTTGCAATGCCCCAACCACATTTTAGCGATGTATGCTCGCCCTCTTCGACCGTCTGGTCGGAGAAATCATGGAGCTGTTCATGGACGATTTTTCGGTTTATGGAGGCTCATTCTCTCACTATCTCCATAACATGGAACTCGTCCTGAAAAGGTGTGAGGAGATGAACCTGGCGCTGAGTTGGGAGAAGTGCCACTTCATGGTTCGTGAAGGCATAGTTCTGGGGGCATAAGATCTCCAAGATGGGATAGAGGTGGACAGAGCCAAGATCGAGACAATCAACAAGCTGCCTCCTCCCACATCTGTTATAGGGATTCGTAGTTTCTTGGGCCATGCAGGGCTCTATAGGCGGTTCATAAAAGACTTCTCGAAGATCGCCTTGCCCCTGACGAAGCTCCTTGCGAAGGATGCCCCTTTCAATTCACTGGCGCGTGCATAGCGCATTCACGACCTTGAAAGAGAAGCTTACTCATGCTCCTATCATGGTCACTCCTGACTAGACATTACCATTCGAGCTGATGTGCGACGCAAGTGACTTTGTTGTTGGAGCTGTTCTGGGGCAGAAGCGAGATCAGCATTTTCGTCCTATCTATTATGCCTCGAAGACCCTCAATGATTCCCAAGAGAACTACACCACCACAGAGAAGGAGTTGCTAGCGGTGCTGTTCGCCTTTGACAAGTTTCGTTCTTATATGGTCTTTTCCCATGTGATAGTGTACACGGATCACTCTACTATATGACACCTGATGAGCAAGGCCAATGCCAAGCCTCGGCACATACGATG